ATGGAAAAGGGAAGGGAGAGGGAAAAGGGAAGGGATAGGGAAGAGGGAGGGGAGGGAGAGGAAGGGAGAGGGAAAAGGGAAGGGATAGGGAAGAGGGAGGGGAGGGACAGGAAGGGAGAGGGAAAAGGGAAGGGATAGGGAAGAGGGAGGGGAGGGACAGGAAGGGGGAGGGAAAAGGGAAGGGAGAGGGAAGAGGGAGGGGAGGGACAGGGAAGGGGGAGGACAAAGGAAGGGGGAGGGAAAAGGAAAGGGGAGGGAATAGGAAGGGGGAGGGAATAGGAAGGGGGAGAGAAAAGGGAGGGGGTTCGTCGTCATCATGGGCGCTCATCGACGTCCTCGTCCTTGTCATCCGTTGACGTGTGGCCGTCTTGTCGTCGCTGACGTGTCATCCGTTGACGTAATGTGTCATTGTCGTCGTTGTCGTTGTCATCCGTTGACGTGTCGTCCTCATCGTCGTCTGTCGTCGTGCGTTGACGTGTGGCCGTCCTCGTCGTCGCTGACGTGTCATCCATTGTCATCGTGCGTTGACGTGACGTGTCGTTGTCGTTGTCCGTTGATGTGTCATCGTCCGTTGTCGTCCGTTGATGTGTGGCCGTCCTCGTCATCGTCCGTCATCGTTGTCGTGTTGTCGTCCATCGTTGTTGTTGTTGTTGTTGTCTGTTGGCGTGGGCGTGATTGGAGGTGACCGCACTGGTCACGGTGACGGTGGTTGTGGTTGACAGCAAAACAGAGATGCTGATGGTGACGCCGGCAAACACCATGACTCATTTAGGAAGGTGGGCGTGAGGATGGGTTATATAGAATTAATGTTGCCAGGCATTTAACAGCCATATGGTGTAGTGGAAATAGTGCTGCTCAGAGATTCACGTGATATTTCCTGAGGCTAGAGTTCAATCCTCATGCATCCACTTATTTTTTTATATATTATAATAACAACAACAAATATTGGAATTCATTGGAATGTCTCGGAATCTGTTGGAATTTGACTGGAATATATTAAATGTACTGTCCATGGGAATTCCATGGAATCTGGTTGGAATTCCAATGGATTCCAATGGAAACTGTTCCGGGAGGCTCCTGGATTCCAACCATTTCCACTGGATTCCGACGGATTCCATTGGAATTTCCATGGAATTGGAAACCAGAATGGCTGAGGCTCCAGCCAACTGGTTTCCGTCAGAATTCCATGGAATTCCAACATTCCACTTGGAATCCGCTGGAACTCATGGGGGATGGTAAAGACCTCAATATTTGCCAGAAATGCATAACCATTACTGGCTGTCCAAGCATTGAGGGAGAGGCTAATTTTTCCCTACAGAGACTACACAATCCATTGACAAGGTTCATAATTCTGGCACCAAAAGAAAAAAGAACCATGTACCCCAAACATCACTTTAATTTCTTCAATTGTTTTCTCTCTGAGAGTCATGACTCACTGACAAATACCATCCTTTTTTGGAAGTGAGAACTTGGTAAGATCCTGATTATACTCCATCATTGAAACAAACTCAGGTTTCTCAACCTCATTGAATGGTTGATTGCATGCAATGATCCAGTCAATGAGCAGCTTTTCAAACTTTGCTTGATCCCAAGGCTCCTGCAATTGTGGTTAAAAGATAGAAGCAAACATTGGAGGAAGATGTACAGCTGCATTGGCTTTCTGTTTAGCAAACACTTCTTTAATACCAGATGTTTGTGCATTGAGCTTTTGAAGGTATTCAGCATGGATGGAAGAATTGAATGGCTTTTGTCCCAAGGCAAACTGGATCTCCTCTGAGGTCAGAGGGTGTTCAGTCCACAGTTTCATGTAGAGGAAAAGCTGGTGAAGTAGGAAATGGGTGTTAGAGCCTGAAGTTCACATGCAAGGAACATGGAATAGACATACCATTTAAGCTACAGTTCATTGCTTTTGAGAGCGTCAAGACTTGGTGATTCCCATGGTAGCACTTGTAATGCTTATCCCCAGGTTCTCCTGCCTCACCATCCTTGTTGATGTCAACTTGCTCATAAAAGAGGTATATAGGATTTTGTTTCCCACAACTCTAAAGTGTAGTCAGCTAGATGAGCAATAATTTTATTTGCAGTGTGAAGTGTACTGTTTTCCTGGTGATGTGATTCCATGATTTAGGTTGTGATGTTGATTGTGATACTGACTGCACATAACTAGACTCTAAGGTATCTACCACATGCTTACGTTTCCAGGCTAGTTCTTTCCTTTTGATTTATGACTCCTCCCTGAAGGAATAGTTTTCGATGGAAGACTATCAGCAAGCTTCAAGAACAATTCAGAAAAGAGTATATGTCATAAAGTAAGATAGGAACATACCTCAATATTAGTTATCTCTGTGCAATTGTCATCATCTTCTGATCCAGAGTCACTGTCACTCATGGAACCCACAAAATCAGCATCATCCTTGTCAGATTCATCTGCTTTTTGTTTGGGCTTTCTCTTGCACTTTCATGACGGCTTTGGTTTGTCCTGGTTGTCTGGATCCTGTTCCTCAATGATGATTTTGGCCATTCAGTCCACATTACATGAACATCAGACACAAACTGTGCAAGAGATGAGAAATTGGTGATGAAAATGGTGTGAGACAAACCAGATGCAATGGGTGTCTCATCATCAGGATCATGATGCCATGTTATCTCGGATGCATCCTTCAATGATCCATCAGGATTGAGGGCACATTGGTCTAAGAATAATAGTGTGGCAGTTAATCAAGATGAATTGATAGAATGAGATGTACACAGACCTGATCCTCCCAAAAAGAGATAACAAATGGTGATGCACATTGCACAGGGATGACTGTGAAAGTGTGAAACATGCAAACAAGGATCAAGCACATTGGGGAAAACCCTAACACCTAACACTCACTCACACTCACACACACACTATCACAATCTCGGTGCAAGAGTTCAAGGGCCTTTGGTATTAAGAAATACCACTTTTGTCTTCTCACAAGTATTAGTGACCTTACCCCAACAACACTGAGCCCCCTGAGCATACAAACAGGCCATGGTTGATGGTGCCTGCTGATGAGCCGATGTATATGTTGACCCCATCAAAGCTGGCTCGGCCACCCATATCTTCTTGAGGAGTGGTTCTGTGTGCCGGCCGACCAGCCTAATGATGAATTGACCCTGCTGAAATTGCCTTGGATTGTGGGTCAGCTGAACAGCTTTTGATTCCTCACAATATGGATCAGCCCACTTGCCGCACCCTGGCTCGGCAAAGTCAGTTTACATACCCGAGGTCATGAATCTCATTGTGAGCCCCGAGCAGAGATGAGGCCGGCCCCCATCTGTTGCCATCTCCAGCCTGGATATGGCCTGGCCCAGTCGGCACCACACTCCCTACCATTCTTTGGCTTGTCTCCAATTAAACAATTTATGTTGCCATCTGTCCCGTGATGATAGCCAGCCTGGCTAACACATGGCCTAACTAAGTTTACTTGTTCATATGTTGTACCAACCCCCCAGTGTTCTTTGCCATGTCCTGCATTCAAAATCACCCTCTGGTTTTATGTTTGCACCAGGCCAGTGAGTACATTAGCTTGTCCTGTATTCTGGTGCAAAGTTACTGAGCAGACAAGGTCATTGAATCTGTATAAATGCATGGAAACAGCCAATCAAACATGTTCAGATGCAAAATAATGGAGCCGACAAGTGGGAAATAGTACAAATACCCGGGTTTCACCTTGAGTGATTGAGCCGATTCCATATTAAATCATTGTGTCTGGGCCAGTGCATTTTTCAGGGAAAGGATGTGTGAGCTGGCACCATGTCCGGGTGAAATTACACCAAGCAGACATGAATTACATCAGTAAAGGTGCACATTGGGTGATGCAGGCATTTAAATGCCAAACTGTTGAAGTACGTTAGCTGGTGCCATGTCCAGATGCAAAATAATCGAGCAAACAAGTGAATGAAATTGGTAAAAATGCCTGGGCTGCACATCGGGTGATATTAAATTGTTGAAGTACTTTCAAAGGGCTGGGAAAACAACCGAGCAGACAAGTGAATTAAATCAATAACATTGCCCGGGCTGATCTCGCATAATAGAACATGTTTAATATTAAATTGTTGAAGTACTTTGGCTTGTGCCGAGGCTGGGTGGAAAATAACCGAGCAGACAAGTGAATTAAATCAGTAAAAGTGCCCGGGTTATGTCTCGGATAATAGAGCCGATCCAATATTAAATTGGTGAAGTACTTTGGCTGGTGCCAAGGCCGAGTGGAAAATAACCGAGCAGATAAGTGAATTAAATCGGCAAAAGTGCCCGGGCTGACGTCTCGGATAATAGAGCCGATTTACTATTAAATTGTTGAAGTACTTTGGCTGGTGCCAAGGCCGGGTGAAAAATAACCGAGCAGACAAGTGAATTAAATCGGTAAAAGTGCCCAGGCTACGTCTTGGGTAATAGAGCCGATTTAATATTAAATTGGTGAAGTACTTTAACTGGTGCCGAGGACGAGTGGAAAATAACCGAGCAGACAAGTGAATTAAATCAGTAAAAGTGCCCGGGCTGAGTCTCGGATAATAGAGCCGATTTACTATTAAATTGTTGAAGTACTTTGGCTGGTGCCAAGGCCGGGTGAAAAATAACCGAGCAGACAAGTGAATTAAATCGGTAAAAGTGCCCAGGCTACGTCTTGGGTAATAGAGCCGATTTAATATTAAATTGGTGAAGTACTTTAACTGGTGCCGAGGACGAGTGGAAAATAACCGAGCAGACAAGTGAATTAAATCAGTAAAAGTGCCCGGGCTGAGTCTCGGATAATAGAGCCGATTTACTATTAAATTGTTGAAGTACTTTGGCTGGTGCCAAGGCCGGGTGAAAAATAACCGAGCAGACAAGTGAATTAAACCGGTAAAAGTGCCCAGGCTACGTCTTGGGTAATAGAGCCGATTTAATATTAAATTGGTGAAGTACTTTAACTGGTGCCGAGGACGAGTGGAAAATAACCGAGCAGACAAGTGAATTAAATCGGTAAAAGTGCCCGGGCTGCGTCTCAGGTAATAGAGCTGATTAGACAGTAAATTGTTGAAGTACTTTAGCTGGTGCCGAGGCCAGGTAAAAAATAGAAGCAGGCAAGTGAATTAAATTGGTAAGTACTTTGGCTGGGTGGAAAATAACCGAGCAGACAAGTGAATTAAATCAGTAAAAGTGCCCGGGTTATGTCTCGGATAATAGAGCCGATCCAATATTAAATTGGTGAAGTACTTTGGCTGGTGCCAAGGCCGAGTGGAAAATAACCGAGCAGATAAGTGAATTAAATCGGCAAAAGTGCCCGGGCTGAGTCTCGGATAATAGAGCCGATTTACTATTAAATTGTTGAAGTACTTTGGCTGGTGCCAAGGCCGGGTGAAAAATAACCGAGCAGACAAATGAATTAAATTGGTAAAATTGCCCAGGCTGTGTCTCGCATAATAGAACCTGTTTAATATTAAATTGTTGAAGTACTTTGGCTGGGTGGAAAACAACCGAGCAGACAAGTGAATTAAATCGATAAAAGTGCCCAGTCTGCATGTCAAATAATAGAGCCGATTCAATATTAAATTGGTGAAGTACTTTGGCTGGTGCCGAGGCTGGGTGGAAAATAACCGAGCAGACAAGTCAATTACATTGGTAAAAGTGCCCGGGCTGCGTCTCGGGTAATAGAGCCGATTTAATATTAAATTGGTGAAGTACTTTAACTGGTGCCGTGTCCAGATGCGAGATCACAGAGCAGACAAATAAACCAAATTGGTAAAAACGCTTGGGCTGCATGTCACGTGATGCTGGTAATTTCATATTAAATTGTTGAAGTACTTTGGCTG